ATATTCTGAGTTGAATGTGCACATCGGCTTTTGATTGCAAGGGCATTTTGCGCAAATAAGAAATTGACTGGCTCGTTCATTGTCCCCAGAAGCATGCCAACAAATAGGACATACAAAAGTAAATTTCGTTTTGAAAAAGAGAAATGGCATGATTAAAAATGCTACCTCACAAAAACCTGCACACCATCAGAAGCTGCTTTCAAGTCGTGTTAGGAACATGTTGCAAATATCATGACATGGCAGAAGGAATCTCCTCTCATTTGTTAGAAAATAAAGTATCTCTTTCTGACTCATTTTGGAATGCTCGCCAAGGTGCCGTTATTATGGGCAGCACTTCTTTCATGATTGTTTGCAGTTCAGTTTGGTAAAACTTGGTTGTGATGCTCAGATATAAGCAATTGTTGGAACCAAAGGATCCGGCACTAGGTTCACACGGCAACGTACATATAGTCGACCCACGGCAATTCTCCCCCTGTACAGGGAAGGGTCGTGGAAGGTCACGTGGCCTATATCTGGGTATTGTGAGCGAGGTATGTACCCCGTGTCCCAAATAGCGGCGAGGTTCTTTAAACCGACCGCAAAAATCGGTTGCTTAACCTATCGCGTTACGATTTTGTACAGCGTTGGCCACAGGTGGTGCATTTTTTCTATAAAATTCGCAAAGAGCGAACTTACCAGAGGAAGTAAAAAAAAAAAAAGAAAAAGGCTTATCTCCTATGGAAACGCAGCGAAGCCACCGCTCTTCAAACCATACGGTTTGAAGGCCGGTGGCTTCGCTGTGTTTTCATAGGAAGCCTTTTTTTTTTTTTTTTTCTTTTGCTCATTAGCTTAGGGCCCCTATATTTCTTTATCCGGCCCTGCTTCAAGTACGAAATAAATAAAAAAAAATATATATTTTTTTTTTTACTGAATTAAGATTTAAAATTATAATGCGCAAATTTGACCAGTAAAAGACGTATTCGAGACAAGTTTCTACTTGATACGTCGAGTGTTTGCGGGAATTTTTAGAGTCGAAACTTTCTTCAAACACCCTGTAGTCGTAAGGTAGCAGATTTGTAGTGAAGCAGAAGCTGAAGCGCGTGCATGTTGCTTTGGATAAAGCATGCGTTGCACATGTGTGCGTACGTGCTACAGACAGGTTAATTAAAGCGTGAGGTCGTGTGGCTTCCTGCGTACCTAACAGATCATTTACACGCGTAGGTTGGAGCACCGCGAGCTCGCGCATTCGTGAAGCTACGCGCTCGCGAAGCTGTCATGTCCACACGCTGCACTACGAGCAACATTACAGTTGTATTCGCCGCTTCGATTTCTTCAATTGAGCTGAAACTTAAGAACTCTACCTCCAAACCCCTACATTTCGAGGGACAACCAGGACGGTCGTCTTCGACCTGATATTTCGCTATGGAATGAACTTGTTAAAGGGGCCCTGCAAAGACTTTTTTACTGGTTTTTAATTTCCACCGGGCCTGAGTGCACTGAACGTATTAATGAAACTTTTCTCGAATTTCGCTTTATTTTCAAAGTTATAGGCAAATTAAAATGACAAAAACAAGCAAAAAATAACCCCCTTCATGATGTCTTTGGTCCTGGCTTGAGCGGCCGTGAACTAGGGGAGAGGTAGTGAACTTAACAAGCGGCTCACGGCTGCCGCACTCCGTGTCGACGGCTCGAGAGGGCGCCACTAAGGCATGTGCTGGATAGGCTGGATGAAGCGGGTGGCCAGGGCGGCTCGCATTGCATTTGCTGCGAGATCAAACACTAATTCGGCATGACACTTCATTGGCCAAAAACGACAGCAAACACGGGCTCTGCAATCAGTTCAGAACGGGAGCAACTTCACGCTGCCATACCGTCAAACGGCCAAACCGCAAGCCAAACCTGCTTGCCGAAGGCCTTCGAAACGCTCGGAATCGGAGATCCTCGAGCCCATACGACCGCAGCGCTGCCGCGTACATCCGGAACCTTTTTTCGCTCGCCGCTCGTCGGTGCGTGATCCACTACCCCTTTCTAGTATGCACCGCCTTTTCCACTGCTTGGTGGCGGGTATGTCTTCGCGGGTCATTTCTTGGTTCCATACTTTATAAACTGCATCTGCTTCTTTTCTGATCTAAAATACTGAACAAAGCGACGGCGACCCGCTTCGCTGCCGCTCGGTCACTCGCGCGACGAGGCAAACCGCATGAAAGCGAGGGAGCGCACGACCACGGCGATGAGCGCTAAGTTTTCTAGAAATCCCAAAACCGAGCTACGCGACGAGTGACAGTGAAGCGTGAACCGCATGTAAGCGATTTAGCGAGCGATGGCGACAGCGAAGGGAGTCGGCGACGAGCGACGGAGATTTCTCGCGGTCGGTCGTCGCGTCGCTCGGTTTTTGGATTTCTAGAAAGGGTCGCTTATCGCCTTGGTCGCTTGCTCCCGTCGCTTTCATGCGGTTTGCCACGTCGCGCGAGTGACCGAGCGACAGCGAAGCGGGTCGTCGTCGCTTGTCTCGTCGCTGTCGCTCGTCTCGTCCCGTCGCTCGCCAAATTGCTTACATGCGGTTCAGCCTTTACACACGGTACTCGGCGGCAACAAAGAAAACGGCCCGCCCCCGAGACCAACTTTTCTTCTCTCTTCTGTTCTACGAAGCTTCAACGATATGAAATTAGCACACACTAGCAGCGGACGACCGCGTAGCGTACCCAAGCCAGTCAAACCGAGACCTCGAAAATGGCGGATCGACGGTGGCGCTCCCTGGCAAAATCGAACCTGCAGGCTCAGTGAATACCACCTATTGGCACCGCGGGTTGCCCCCGTAGGTAGAGGAGGTTTACGTGTCGTCCGGTTAAAATATAACACACTGATATTTAGTTACCCTTTCCGTGCCCGCTGGCTTGCCCGAACACCAAGAGACGTGGAAACCGCAAAAAAGGTAGACGCTTAAATATGATTGCAGGGGTTTTCCCGATCTGTTTCCCCGACTGACTGGCTCGGACGTCGTTCGTAATAGTTGGACGCCAGCGAGATGGTCATGCTACCAGAGAGTCAAGGATGGGCGTCGACACCCAACAATGTAACCAGGGTTGCAACTTGGACGGGCCGACCTTGTTAACCATACACGAACGTCTAATTTGCTTTTTTTTTTTCTTTTGTTTGGTGGGACTGTCTTAATGCAATCAGAATCATTGTGGGTCTGCTATACATTGAACAGCAACAGAAGGGTCACAGTGGAGTAGATGCATGGTGTCCATTTCCACAAGGTTGTGACCGAGGTGCCCGACTTGGAAAGGTTCAGTGAAACCTGTCGCTGAACCTAGGGCCAGATCACCTATATACAGGGTGTTTTTTTTTTGTTTTTTTTTTTATTAGGCTTTACAGATGTCTAAAAAACTTGTGAAAGTTACACTAACGCGGTCTGCGCGGGTCAGCTATATGGCCAGAGGGACATAATATAGGACCTAATAGTCACGATAAGCAAGACAATTAAAATTTGTGAAATAATGTTTTAACTGCTGAAAACAAACATATCGTTCCAATTAGAAACTTCCTGAACGTCATTGTAAGCAACTAAATCGGTAAATTTTAAAAAGATTTGGAGCGCATGAATAGCATGGTGGTGTGTTAGGCTGGTGGCGCAATAACTGGTAATAAGCATATGGTGGTGTCACCATCCCCATTTTTGCACCACCAGCCTTGCACCTGTTGCACGAGTGGAAACCTTTAGTGGACCACCGCACTTCTCAAGCACTCCAGATCTTTCTAAAATTTACTGGGTTAGTGATTTCTGACGATGCTCAGTAAGTTTCTTATTCGAACTATAGGTTTATTTTCACTAATTAAAACGTTAATGCACAAATCTGAAATAATTACCCGACTTATTGCGACGATTGTCTCCCTACATTATATGTCGCCCTGGCCGTATAGTTCACTTCACGGACCACATTAGTGTGGCTTTTGCTTTACGGCTTTTTTATAAACGGTCTGTAAAGCTTTAAAAAAAAAAAAAACGTATAGAGGTATACAGTCAGGGATGGGCAAAATACATGCAAATATGTATCTAAATACAAATACAAAATACTTTGTTAAAAATGTATTTAATTACAAATCTAATTGCATTTCCAAAAAAGCATTTAAGTACAAGATACAAATACAACCAAATGTATTTGGTCTCCTCCAAATACTTTTCCAAATACATTCCTCAAAATTTGCGTCAGCGACTTCAGGGCACCTGCAACGGGTTTCTGGGTATCTCATTTTAATTTTGCATCGCACACTCGGGAGTTAGTGTGCGAGGCTTTAGTAACGTAATAAAAATATAATCACAAAAAAATGTAATCAGCTTGGACGTTTTGAAAAAAGTACAGAGCTTCAAGCAGCTTTTTTTGTTGATTATACATTTTGGTATAGACCAACAAAGAACCGAGACGACCAAGACGCGCAGCACTAGCTAGATAATTTTTTATTGTTGCAACTCGCACCAGTTACGAACATCTGGACTACCCGCACATTTACAATGTTCCAGGCAAAAATATGGATGGAAATCGGGCTGGAAAGCACCACAAGTTGTCACAGGCACTTATTTAGCCAGTCTGCCTGTGAACGTCGATTTCGTCACTATTCTTGCCCTGGACTAGAACCGTAATCAGTCACTAAACGCTTGTGCTTGATTGGGAGACACTGCATTCGGTGCAGAACATAGTTTTCTTCCTGCTCTGGACAGTGACAATAAATTTGAGGGATGTATTTTCGCCCACAAAATCGTATTTAATTACAATTGTATTTGAAATACCCACGTTTTAGTATTTAAATACACATGTCAAATACATTACCCAATTTGTAATTAAATACAAATGCAAAATAACAAAGTATTTGAAATACGTATTTCAAATACTGCCCATCCCTGGATGTAGTTAACTGCAAGGGAAAAATGTCTGCAAGAGGAGAGTTTCAACAGTGCATGATGCTATGTACTTCCCCGCAAAAAAAGGATGCAGTAGTGAGTGCTTCATATGACAAGCCCGTTAAAACATTTTAATGTTTATTTCCAACTTGTTTACATCAGATGGCACACTTCACACAATGTGCATTCCATACACATTTGAAACATGACCCCTGTCTTCATGGGTTCGATATATCAAGGGCCAAAGAGTCTACAGTCAAATTCATGTGAACTCTGAGCGCATAAAACAAAAGATGAACAGCAAAATGCAGATGAAGCCTTATGAGCATCACTGCACCTAGTGCAGTAAATTTTTTTTTTAATGTGCAACGAAGTGTGAGTGAAATAGTACACTGGTAGACATCTGCCATTTGAAGAACAGACTCAAGAAATTCTATTTACATTTTTTTTTTCATTCAATGTCCACTTAGAAACGACCAGGTCACTATGGAAGGAAGGAAGCCATGGGGTCGTCGTCCCGCTTTCGCTTTAGGAAATATGCCTCCATCTCCTCCTCAGTAGGTGCCTTGATCTCGTACATGCTGTTGTATTTGCGCTTCCGTTCGTCCGTCTCTTGCTTCTGGTCCTGATCAAACTCCTCCATAGCCTGCAAACACATAAAAATCACACTCGCATCCGCGAGTCTGACCTACGCTACCTAGAGGCTGGCGGGCTATGTCCGCGAGATACGACCAAATTGGTGAAAATGCCCCAACTGCTTCCAGGCAGAAACAAATTGGTTTGTGCTTGGAGCATGCTCCGGTATATTGGCACAACTCTCGACAGATTGATGCAGACGTGGTACGTTTAGAGAGAAGGAGTTTGGAGACTCGCACATTGTGCGCCAGTGAAGGCATGCAGAGAGGTGCCCACATTTCCCCGATTTCCCTGGCTGGCTATGCTGCGACCAAGTCTGACCGAGGGATGGCGATTGAAAGACAAAGAGGTTAGCCTGGATCTTTGTTCTATAGTCGGCCACTCCGTGCCGAGTTAAAAGAAAGGGAAGATGCAGCAATGAGAAAGCACAGTGATACAACGATGATGCACCAACCAAATGCCCAAGACAAGCATAAACTACTAGGGGAGAAGCAAAAAAAAAGGATATTTTGTGTTTCATTATCTTTAAACCTTCATACTTTATGTATACAACATTAATGACCGAAAACGATCGCGGAACTAGTCAAAGAGGCATTTGAAGAACACCCGGCAACCCAGAAAGGCATGAATTTAGCCATTTTCGTGTGTGCGGTTCTTCAAATTGTGACATTGCCTGCCATCACATTTATTTTGAGAAGTAGGCCTAGCCGTCTTCTCTGTCACATCTGTATCTTCAATGTTTCACAAACAACTAACAACTAATAAAAATATATTTTTCCTGCCGCGAAAGAGTATCGCTACACATTTATGGTAGTAATATTCAAACACATTTTTCTCTTTTTGTAATTTTGGGGCCTCGTCACAGTTGACACACAAGAATTTGTTCTCTTAACATTGTCCTATCACCAGCAAATTTGGCATGCATATGATTTAGAATGCATATCCTAAACATTCTAATTAGAATGAATATTTTTTATCTTTATAAAAAAAAATATATATATATATATATATATATATATATATATATATATATATATATATATATATATATATATATATATATATATATATATATATAGCTTTTTGCAAATAGCATTTTTGTTATTTTAATTTTTTTTTTAATTGAAAGGTTTTGCAGACATTATTTTTGTTGTTCGTTGCACTCAGTGCTTTAACCCTTTAACCACCAAGTAATCTTTAAAAAAAATGTACAAACTTTCCCAAATTTTTTTTCATTTGCACATATTTTTCTTATGTGGTTGTGATTTTGCAATTACATTACTTAATTAGGTTCTGATAGGTATTTACAGAAAAATTTTAAAAGAAAAAGTTGATTTATATAGAAGCTTTCCCTCAGTGCATGTAAGAGTGAGAATAACACATGCTGAAATGCGCAGTATTTATTTGAAAATACGCACCATAACGAAAGATCAAGTGCCTAGACGTTCCTCCGCACTAGCGCTAACAAAGTTCCGTAAGTAATGATTCCTTACAGAATTATTAGCGCAAGGAACACCATCATCTCTTCGCGGTCCACCGGTTTCCATCAAGAACCCCGCGCTGGGAAATGCGGAACCGCATAGCGATTTGTCTCCGTCACAATGAAGTTGGGAAGGTCCCAATCAAAAAAACAACAAAAAACCTTGAACCAGCCGAGAATGTCTTTTTCGTCAGTGGGTTGCCGCAGAATCTCAGGCACTGCACAAAACGGAAACCTCGGAGGCGCGGCTGAAGGGTTTTCAGCGTTTACGCATTGCCACACTCGAACACTAACCCAGCGCATCGTCTAATTCGTCACTGAGGTCATCGTCATGTCCGACTCACTTTCAGAGACAAATTCGATGTCTTCATCGTCACTACTGTTCGAGCTGCCGCAAGAGAGAGCCCGTTTCCGAAGGCCGTCACTGGCATCACTCAAGCGCGCTGCCATCTCTGATCACTGTTGCAAGGCTAGATACGTACCAAAGGCCAAAACACACTATATTTGCGCGACCTCTCCTGCCCTCCAGTGTTGAAAATTGAAACTAAAGCTGATGGACGAACCTGTCTCGTGTTTGGCAGTGAAAGCAAACCATCATTTTGGCTGGACGAGTGTGACTCGTCATCGCCGATATTGGTACAACCTTCCATGACGAGTACAGCTCGGGTTGAGTGGTTAAAGGGTTAAAAGGAATGAATGGGCTTATTTTTACTAGGCTCTTAAGGTGTGTAGCCATGCCCCACACATGCATAAGAACATGGTTATTTTGCATGTGTAGTGCATCCAGAACATAAAAAAGCAAGCTACCATATTTACTCGAATAATGAGTATCAATATTTGGTCTTTTTTTTCCCCTCACAAATGAACACACTTACAATTTTTGGCTCTGCGAGTCTCAAACTGCGTCCAATTTTTAATTGGATGCAGTTCGAAAGGAGATCATGCACTATAAATTGTAAACATTTAATTATCGTAAAAAAAAAAGTTTTCTCCTGGTGCATGTTTTCTTAAAAGACAATGATTGTCATAATAAACTCCCTCTTGTCCCTGCTGACTTGGTACCAAGCTACCCGGCATGCCTGAGGGGGTCCTGTTTACTTACCTTTTTGATCTTTTCCTGCCTCTCCTTGGCCGTTTTCTCATCAGTGTCCTCACTGTCCGAACTGCTCGATGCCTTCTTGGCCCTCTCCTTCTTCTCTGCCCTCTTCCTCTTCTTCTTCTCCTTCTTCTTCTTTTTCCTCTTCTTGTCACTTGTTTTCTCCACAAATTCGCCTTCCTACAAAGACAGTTGGGCAAGCTAGGGGTCACCTCCCGTTCAAAAGGGACTAACGTTACTAGATCAAAATTGGTTGACAAGCTTCCTAGAACGCCTGGTGCCATTTCGTGGCGCATGCGCTTGGTGGCACTTGCTACAGCCCGCCCAATGGACAGAACCGGTGGAACGTTAGATGCACATTACCTACGGTGGAAAGGGATTCTATAGTTGTTTTTATGGTAAACATAAATTAATGTTTGCACAAAAGTCAAAAGGAAAAAAATCGTCGTTCGAAAACTGTTTTTCTTCGTTGCCCGTGGAGGCGTTCAAAAAAAGAACCGATTTCGAACGTCGCTCTTCCATGGAGCTTGTCAACCGATAGATCTAAGAATGTTGAAAGGGGCATTCTAGCAGAGATGACTATGCCATGTTTCCTTTGAAAGTCCCACATTCTACTTCTGGAAAAGTTGACAAAAACATGTTACAAAGTTTGACTAAGGCAGCTTTAAATGAATAGAGTATTGGTACCTCGTCTGAAAATGGTGACTTTGTTCCCCTTTTTACAGTAACACGGTTGTGCTGCAGCACTTTCCAAGCGAGAGAATAAAAATGTGGGTAATGGCATTTTGAGCTTATCAGACTCATCACTATTTCTCCACAGGGCGCGGTTCTGTCGGGGCCGAGATGCGCTCCGATTGCAAACCGAAACTTAGAAACCAGTTGAATTTGTGCGGTTTTTCAGAAAGCCGTAAAATCTATTGTTCTGCAATTTGTTGATTTAGTGTTTTTCGATGATGCTGAGCAATTTTCTAATTGAAACCATGCCCTTAAACACAATATTAAAAAAGTTAATTATGCAAAAATAACTAACAATCAAATTATCTCAGACTTTAATAATTTTCCTAAATGGGCCCCTGGCCCAGGATCAAAACAACACAAGCCTTTTTTTGTTGCGATGCAGTTTTCGCAATATCAAACTTGTCCAATTTCGGGAAACACCCTGTATGTAAAAAAAAAAGGCAAACAAGTTGCACCGTTGTATAAGATGCACCAACGGAAATTTGGGAAAAAGACAGCAACACATATGCCGAAAACATGGCAACTTATTTCGGTGATGTGTGTAGAACCTGGGCAAAGTGACCTCGGGTGACTACAGAACTGTCGCACAAATGCAGCCAGCAGATGATGGCCTACGTTGCCAAATCCAACCCTGTACAACTTACAGTTGCAGACACAATCTCCTTCTGCACCACTGCCAAGGAAGACGTCGAGGCCCCCCTTCCGTCAGTCTCCTCCTCTTTAGTGTCCTCCACTGCACCTCCGCCGCCTTCAGGATTCCCTGCCGGGGGACCTCCCGCTGTCGTTGCAGGCATCAGCAAGGAGCTGCCAGACTGAACAGGGAAAACAGAAAATCAGGCACGCAAATGTGACACCGCAACAATGCCTTGACAAGTATCACCGAGCCAAGTCAAATGAACTGTACGGATGCACAGGCAGCGGGAAGCCAGCCTGCCTTCAAACTGCGGCGACTAGCGTCATCCCGGCTACAGGGAAGCCATTATCCAAAAACAATACGATTGCCAACTACGAGTCTTGAAGGGAAGCTGAAGCGATTTGGTGCTTGAGGAAACACACTTAAATCATCTTCATTGGAGCTCCAGGATCTCGAATATTGAGATTATTTTTTAATTTGGTGCACCAAGGCTGCAGAAAATCATTTTAAAAGTACCGCCGAAGGCCCTCCTTCCAGGAGTGTGACGTCACAAAAGGAGTTTTCGGAATCTTCGCTGTCACGAATCTTTGGCACCTATCAAAGCTACCCAGGCGAAAATTTCTAACTGGGACCAGTTGGCACCTCAACTGGTTTCAACTGGGACTAACTGGGAATCAACTGGGACTAACTGGTCCCAACTGGGAATCAACTGGGACCAATAGGAGTCCAACTGGGACCAGCTAAGGGGTCAACTGGTTTTAACCATTCCCAGTTGGGAGTCAACTGGTTTGAACCATTCCCAGTTGGGATTCAACTGGTTTGACTCCCAGTTGGGAATGGAGTGAACTGGGAAAAGTAACTGGTTGGAGCGATTCCCAGTCGAACTTCAAATGCCTTTCCCGTTCCCAGTTCACACGGGGCAACAATTTTGACAAGTTGGGGTGTATTGACCTTTGCTAATGAAGAAAACTAAAAACACTAACATTTTTAGATTTATACAAATAGGGAATTTTAATTACTGGGGTACATTTATATATTTATAAAAATATAAAAATTTTAATTAACTAAATAATTTTTAATTGGAAAATATAATTAGTGACAAAATGTGTTCACCTACATTTACACTTTTAGTGCATTATTAAAATATATTAAAACATTTATTTAAATACCTACAGTATTTTTTTTTCTTTTAATAAATAAATTTATCTTTTGACTAATCAGAGCTAGCCGTGGCACGCGGGTGCGGATTAGTGGTACGCGCTGTCGACAGATGGCGCTGCCTATGCTGACGGCGGAGTCGGACGGTCGCTGCGGACGCGGTAGAGAAGGGTCGCCATCGCCAGGCCATCGCCCAAGTTGGCGTCGTTATGAAAATGTCAAAACTACAGCTGCGCTTCCTTGGACCTAACTGTACACACACCACGGTGGCGGCGAAGAACTTCGAGGATGGAAAGATGCAGTTCAGCGATCGGAGGGCACCCAGGAAAGACCGGGCGGTAGAGAACACGCCGCGGAGAGCACAATGGCGAAAATGGCGGGAGGTCTACCTCGAAAATGTTCGACTGTTGTGACAGAGATTGCAAGGTGGGAGCGCTACCGCATCTTACCGGTACTTCTCCTGCGCAACGCAGGATAACGGGTGAGCACCTTTTTCACGCGATGGGAAGAGAAGCTGAGGACGTCTTCACTAACGGACGCCAGCGGCCAATCTTCCTTCATCTCATCAATACCACCTCTGAAAAAGCGATTCAACCGTCGCAAGCAAGTGGCTAAACCCGGAGCGTGTACGTCACCGAACCTATTTAGTTTCATTCTCCAAGTTTTTGACAATTAAGTCTTGTCACCCTTCCATTTTGTGCCGTGTTTCATTGTTGCTGGAGTTGGTACCAACTCCAACTGGGACCAGTTGTAACTGGGACCAATTCCAGCTGGGACCAACTCCAACTGGGAATTGTTCCATAAACCAGTTGCAACTGGGACCAATTGGTCCCAGTTGGACGACTCCAACTGGGACCAGTTGCAACTGGGAATTGTTCCATAAACCAGTTGCAACTGGGACCAACTGGTCCCAGTTGAAAATTTTCGCCTGGGTATGCACACACACTCTTGCTATTTTTAAAAAGGGCAAAAAAAGAAGTCACATCTGGTGCCAGTCCGGGGAAATATACCGTATTTGCTCGAGCGGAGGAATACTAACCATATTTGTGCACTTCTTGTGATCAAGGCCCTTCCATCTACTTTCCTGCAGAACACACATACAGTCAATCATTGCATTCTGCATAAAACAATGAAGCGAATCACGAGGTCGAGGACACGATTCTCCATAAAAATGCCTTCTAAGTAGATAGCACTTTCCCGTGAAGACGTTATCTCTGTCCCGAAATTGCTGCCAGTTTTCTGCCGATCGGGGCGATTCATTATCCTCATGCTCTGCGGGAAAGCGGACCCACGGGTGTTTTCATATATAGCGTGGCTATTGCTTGAGTAAAAACGATAACTGGCAAGCTTGCGATTGCACGCGCGGCCCTCGAGCGACAAGCGCTTGGCAGCCGAAAGATCCTCTTATGACGTCACGACTGGTCGGAGGTTTTCCGTGTTTCCTCACGTTTAGTTACATCTTCGGGGAAAACAAACATGACATTCAGAATCATGGGATGAAACTACATTAGAATCAACCTCCATCTCATTTTATGAAAGAAGTGTTTCAGCCTCCCTTAACATAAATCAGGCACAGGGCCGGCCCTAGGGGTGGGCAATCACGTGACTGCACAGGGTGCCATCAAAGGGTGGTGCTGAATTACTGGATCATGGATGGGCCAGAATCTCTGCGCCCAAAAACATAGCCCGCAATTTTCCGTTAAAGGGAACACAAAGGCGATTTCAAAATTTTTTTAAAAAGAAGGTGTTTTCGGACGCATTGAAATCCTAGCATGCCACTCAATTTTTTTTTTTTTTAGAGCTTTGCGACTTTTATTTTTATGCCTGCAAGTAAATCTGCTAAACTGAAAAAAACATTCAGATGTGACGTCGATCGGGAGCACCGTTGGTTTTCGGTAGGATTTAGTGGATGCTCGGTGCGGTTCCCGCGGTTCACTGTAGTGCACGGTGGTCTGTGAACCGGTAAAATGGACGACAACACCATGCTTGCAGACGAGTTTGAGCTCCCGTTCAGTGACCTCACGCTGACAGAACGGGAGATGCTTCTCGGGACGCGAACCTCTGGATTGGCGCTTTAAGAGGTTGCCCCAAACTTGCCACCGACATTTTGGTCGCCACCTTAGAGCGGTCGACCTCCCGATTCTCAACCTGACTCACCGACACTGCTGCGACACCAAGAGCGCATCGTTCGTTTGAACCAATCACCTGACGAGGAGTCCGGTGTCGTCATGCTTTAACGTCACGCAGTGCACTTTAGTTCAATTGTTCCAGGCGCGATTATTACCACAAATGCTTAATTGATTGGTGCGGCACCCAAACGTCTGTTCGGGCTAGAACTTGGTCAACAGTGTCCGAGACCTGCCTGACAACCATTTCAATTGTCAAATAAAGCTTCCAAATCACCTTCACAGTCCCTTTAATGCAAGGGACAAGTGCGCTGTAATCGTTCCACCCCAAATTGGTACGCTTCAGAAATCAAAGGGTCTAGTGTCAGAAACGTGTTGCCCACCAGAGTGTGGTATACAGTAAGCTCTCACTTGAGCAAACTCCAAGGGTCCCAAGGAAATAGTTTACTTAACTGAAAGTTCACTAAACTCAATATAATTCACTAGAATATGGAACAGCATAGGGCACAGCATACATCGAGTCAAAAGTGTGAATTGCAATTTATGGAGTCCTGTACATCGATATACACAAAGTGCATTTCAAAAGAAGAAAAGCAGCAACGGCACGTTGCTGCTTTTCTCGTTTTGAAAAAAAATCTGAAATTTTCATTTGCACCGGCGCTCTTAAAGCGCATGAAGTAACAAAGCTGTCCAGAGAGTCCATGTTTTTTTGCACTTCCTCTGGCACAGCTTGTTGCTGTGACAAAGCCATACCGCAACAGCCTTGTCCACTGGCTCGAAATATCCCATGCAGAGTTATTTCCTGTTGGGATTGAACGCAGTTTCTCATTCAAGCTTCGACTTTTGCTTCACTATCGCTGACAACGTCGACGGTGGAATCCCACAGTGCTTCACAACGTCCACTTGCCTTTGACCGTTGTCCAGACGCTGAAGGATTTTGAGCTTGTCTGATAGAGAAAACCACTTCCGTTTCATTATACGCATTACAAAAGTAGGCGTTGTTAACCAAAACTAAGATGGCCGAACGAAACCGATGACAAAGAAAAAACAGACACACCACGTGGTTCGTTTTTGTCTGTGCACCGCAGCTTTGCCTCGGCGGCGCTGTAAAAGCCAACAATGGCGGGGCGGCACGCATCGGTTACGCCAGCACAGCAGAGCACAAAACTATGTTGAACTGATTGCAAAAATAATCCTGGGTCCGCCGATCAAGTTCGTTGAACTGAAATATTTGCTATTCCAAAATTCATTTTTCGTTTAACTGAAACATTTTTGCATAGAATGCAAAGGAAGACCGCTGGGGATTTTTTTTAAAGTTTGCTATTCTGAAATATTCCTTAAACCGAACATGTCCGATTATTCGGACGTTTTCGCCGGACTGTCACTCACCCCATAGAGTTACCGTAGAATACCGCACATCCGCCCATTCCAACTTAAGCACCCATTACCAAATTTGTAAGATCTGAAAAAATACACACAGTACATTTATGTGTAAAATTGATGACTGGACAAGTGCCCATCCCCCATTTTTTTGTGATTATCTCCAAAGTTTGATTAGGCGCTTGCCCGGTATTTTACCGTAATGTATAACACTGACCGAAATTTTGGATGCCCTAAAGCTTATTGCTCGATATTTCTGACAAAATTTGTGTGATTTCCTCAGTTTACAGCCACAAAACAGCTGCTGCGATAGCGCCGTGACCTTAGTCACTGCAATTTTGGTTGACTTGATTTTGCCCTGTAGCCTCGATAACACGTCTTAGGCAATAAACAAGCTGGTTTGAAACTATAGTCGGGTTTTCTGGTTCCACTATAGCCAACGTGGCCGCCGTCTGCCCATTCTTATGGCTCTTCCAGTTCTCCTCGTGGTCCGTGTTTCTCGAGTGTGACTGCGAGAAGAGTAGCCGTCTGCAGTTCTTGTGGTCTTTGAGTGCGAAGTTTTGTCGATAGGCTTAGTATTGAAGCAAGCTTGGTGGACTAAACGTTGTCTACAAATAGTGCCAAATGGAACCAATTTCAACTTCAATGTTTGCACCAACGAAGGTGCCGACAAAGTGCAGTACTGTGAACAAACAGATCAACAAACAAGTGAAAAGTGAACAATATAAAGCGGAAGTTGCACGAGAACTTAAAATCGACACCAAGCAAGTGGAAAGTGGCCAATACACATCGGAATATACGCAGAAATTTGATATTTTGGCCGAAATTGATTTTTCAGACAATTCTGGTACCTGTAGTTCTCCTCCCCTCCCTCCCTCCCTCCCTCCTCCTCCTCCTCCTCCTCCTCCTCCTCCTCCTCCTCCTCCTCCTCCTCCTCCTCTCTCCCCCCCCCCCCCCCCGTCAGAAAAATCGGTCGGCGACTGTATAGCGTTTCAGGAAAGTATAAGCTCTAGGAATCGTTAGGTAAATGTGCGGCTCTACGTTACGGTGGCCCAATGGGATGCATATTTAACTAGGAAGGCAAGAAGCTATTAATTGTAAATACTTAAAAAGGTCGTGCTTCATACTTCCTAAACATCAGATTACTTTCCGTTGCTCATCCGAGTGGCTATTTGTAGGGTCTCCTCGCGTGTCACTGGCAATTATGCGGCGAGATTAGCAGCAAGGTGCATACCATCAGCTGGATGTCCTTTCCACTGGCACCCGTGCAGTAAGAGTTCTTGATGAAGGAGTGGCAGCACTTGTACCCCCACTGGAAGTCCTTCCAAAATGAACCCCAGACTGACTGAAATGAATGCCAAAGAGACTCGCTTCAGAACAGAGAAGAGCCGAGAAAGATGACACATTCAAAATGCAGTGCCATCCAAACTGCAGCTGCACAGCACGACAGTAACTGCACACTTACAGTGTGGTTGTTGATCAGCACATGCTCCTCATACTTGGATCGTATGATGGGTTTCTCGCCCCCACGAATCACCTCGCCATGCCTCGAGTATTCCACGTAGTCCTCCTGAGAAGCACAAAGAGCGGCAGCAGGTTGAAACACGGCATTCTTCCACACTGCCCGCTGACCATGCGGCATGTGGACTCACCGTCTGAGCAAAGATGAGTTCCTTGGGAGGCACCTGGAGGTGCTCTTCCCCGCCGTATCTTTCCAGGATGCTGTCCTTCATGGAGAGTCGGAACTCGTCCTCCTTGGAGAGGAACTCCTTGTTGAGGAGTTCGGCCTTTGTGGGCTCCGCTTGCAGGTGCACGTCCACACCCTTTTCGTACGCTTGCCACGCAAACACTGTCGCCAGAAACAAGACACAACTGCGCCGTTGCCCAAACCACCTTTCTGTGGGCGTTCACCATTACTGTACCTTACTGGTATACCAAAAGAAATATCATTGCAGGTCTTATGCGACACTCAATAGACCAATCTCACCAGGAGTTGCGCGATGCCACCGCTTTCGCGGTGCGTTCTGGTACCTGTAGTTCTCCCCAGTTTTCTGGCCGCGTCAGAGCGCATTGTACACCTGGCGTTTGGAAATTTTCAGGTTAGCACGAGTCTTTTCATTGGGCGTTTACTCACGATTTTCAATGGGTGGCTTCACCCGTTCTGTGACAAAGTGCTACAATAACAGCACCAGGCAAAAAGGCATCGGATTTTATGTCTTCCCGAAAGAAAGCAGCCCCCGAAAAGAGTGTCTAAAAAAGGTAAAAAGAGCTGGAGAAAAGTGGCAGGAAACAGCGTTTTTCGTTTTGTATGTAATATTACGAGGCACGAGACATAGTAGGGCGTGCCGAAGTGTTCCGTATGTTTGAATCTCCCTGAGCACTCGCTCCATAGCGGTATATCCGTTGGTCTATCTCAATCGGGACCTCCGCACTGCCTTGTGGCGGCCGTTTTTAATCAAATTTTTGCTCAATGTATTTTGGTCATTGCAACTGTTATTGTGACATGTTTTGAGCACAACTATGCTCCAAAAGATCAAGACAATCACTAAAGAAAGAGCAGCGATTCTTAGTATATGGGTGTGTTCAGATAAGGACGGTCATGGTGGTGTCATGCCTATTTTTTGTTTTCAATTAAATTTTTTTATGAGGTAGCGAAACCTGTCCACACAATGGGACAGGCCTTACTTTTGTAAGATACTTCATAGTATTCGTGAGAAAAATTGCATTCGAGAGGAGGTTGAAAAAATGTTTTTCCCAACTGCGCGATGATGCAACTTTGAAGGCCGGAGGAATAAAGCATACAGCTTTCTACACCGTCAAATTTTTTATGTTTGATTCAAGCATACGTTTCTGCCAGAATTAGTTAAAGTAACTTATATCAGCCTATATTTCAAGAGAAATAAAATGCCAAACTTGGCTTCTGGAGCAAATCTTACATAATGAGGCATTTTTCGGCGAACTTTTAAGTTGCTTTAAATTTATGTTCTAGAGCTGAAACTTTTAGGGTAGAGTGTCTCATGCCTTGTGAACTTTTGACAAATTAATAGGAAGTTTTAGAATAGCGCACACTAAAGCTTTGCGTGCGCAAAGAATAGCGTCGTCGCCACTGCGCATGCTCCGAAAGCAAACCAGGTTTCGCGCTTTGCGTGTGCAATTTTAGCGCGCGCTATTTCTTGGAAATAGCGTGCGTACGCATAGAGTCTTTGCGCTTCTCCAAGGATGATTCTTGATGAGAAGTTCGCTTAAGCCAAGACGAGCAGAGTTAAAAAAATGGCGGCTCCCAGGATTACGTCGGCGGCTGCTTTGGCGGTGTCGTGAGTGCGACGTCGGCGACATCCTCGCGACTGCGATTTTCAATACGAAACGAAATTGTACTCGGTTTGGCCACGATCACCGACAGCTTGATGCTTGTGACGCGCGAACATTTCTCAGCGAAGGTACGATATGCGAAGGTCAGTACACGAGACCTCTCTTGCCGAGGCGACGCAAGCGGACACGACCGGTCAACCGCTCACTTCGCATTCTCATGTTTAAACAAATCTAAAATGGTACTCTGAACCAAAAAACTTGTTTTTTCTAAAGTTACAACATTTCGTGTGTGAAATAAAAATTGTGACTGTATCTTGGTGGCATTGCAAGCGCGAGATGCTTGGGCTTTTGCGTCGCGACGGAGGAACGCTATTCTAAAATTCTCTCGCATCGCGTGCGCTAATACAAGCGCTAAATTTAGCGCTAGCGTTTGCTAAAATTGCGTACGTTATTCTAAAACTCCCTAATTAGTGTTATACAGTTGAAAGTGTTTTCTGGATTGCACCCAAAAATTTTGCCAAAATGGAAAAAGTCTACATTTTGCGATTTTTGTGCGGCAATTAAAAAAAATAATCATTCTCGATTTTATTTAAATTTTACCCGATGGGTCCTTGATGACCGGTAATTACAAATATGCAAAGACATGTTGCATTATTGTTTTAAAACAAAAAACAAAAATGTGTAACCAGGTCGTGGTTGCATCAATTACCGCTGGGGCGTTTCTGTCTCAACGACTAGTGGTACACGAGCGACGCATGCCACAGTATCCGCACTTTGTCATATTAATGCCCGGACGTCATGGAGCACTACAAATATAGCACGTGAACTTGGTTGCATTTCTTATACGGCTGATATTGCAAATAAAAACTGAACGTTGCGGCGCGTACGATCCTTAATGGGGTGTTATACTTAACTGGTTAGATGTTTATTGTGCTACCATTTAAAGTTAGTACTTTAATATAAGTGCGACAAAATAATTTGATTCGTATTTCTAGGCACCGCTCGAAAGCTTGCTGACAAAATAGTTTGATTCATTTCTCTAGCCGTCGCTTAAACGAGCGACATAGCGGAAACTTCTGCCCCGACCGATCGCGCGCATGGCTAGGTGGAACAAAAACAGTGTATATTTGAAAAACAATGGCGAATGAGTGGAAATTGGAGTAGCCGGTGTCATTTAAAGAATACCAACATCTCCATAATAAAGAACTTATCTCTCTCTCTCTCCGAGTGGAAATCAAGGTTGAGTTAGAGGGGATTTAGGTAGTGTAAGCGGTTCAGTGTCAGAAGCAAGAGCTATGTGTGCGCTTGGGTGCCACTCAAGGCGCTCCAACAGGATATCTTGCGACGCCTCATCCGCGATTAGAAAAGTCATGATCTGTGACTGGTTTGAGGGGGGAAAAGAGTTATCGATCTGGGGAAATATTTTTATAAAATTCTGAGAGGGTCATAGAGAGCAAAAACCTGCAGATGTTTATTTGCAATTAGAACGCTCTTGCTGAGAATCATCCAGCGCCGCCACCGAGTGCCGTAAGCCGTCACACGCGTACAGGTTCGTGGTTTACTATAAACAGAAACGAAAGAAAGATCTGCTGACTAGACGACCGGCCTACACCGCGGCGAGGTCTTGCCAATAAAGAGGACGTAACACAAGTTTTTAAACAATGGGAGTTTAATTAAAACAATCATTTAATTAGGAAGAGACATAATATAATGGAGTTCACAAGTATCGAAACGTGGCAATAAATAGTCTTAGCACTTTACCCAGCCGGTGCGCAAGCAGAAAAATGCGAATATACCTAGCAGATACAGAGAAGAAAAACAATTACTAGACAATTGAAAACTGAACTCCTAAAATCCTGAATCACTACCAACCAGATTGCAATACTGAGGAGCTAGCGGGTGGAGGGAGTGTCTAATAATCTGTCACTGTCTGGGAGTTACGGCCTCTTCCCTTGCATTGTCCGAAGGGGGTGGTACCGGTGGATTCCACGGTGGGCTAGTGGGCAGCTTGATCAGGCCAGCCGCACACACACACACATGCACACTTCTTGCGAAGGCTTCCCCAGCGCAGACGTGGCCCGCCACCGTCGCTTTTCCCGGGCTCGATTCGCTTTTTCGCAGATCGAATCTCACGGCTCGAAGTCCAGATCAGATTTCGTCTTCACACATGTCACATATCATACGAGACAAAAAAAGCGTGGTTGTAAGCGAGATATACCAAATCAGGTGCAGGAAGGCTTTCAAACCGTTTGTCCTGCGGAGTCTTGTTTATATTGAAGGGCATAGGAATTTGTAAAACTGTGATGTACGCCTGGGTCAGTCTCCGGGAAATTCAACGAGTGGAGTCTTTAATATATCCGGGCGGAGCTGGATAGGGTGACACAAGCAATCTACTAGGACACGTTCAAGGGACTCAGGGTTTCTTCCACTCAGAGTCCACGCTGCGTGCCACGTACAAGGAATTCTCCTAATCTGATTTTTCATATTTCCACATGTGAAGCGACTGGATTCTAGGCACCATCTTGGCGTCCTGCCACTCCAGTTTTTTTTGTTCTCAAAATGCCTCAAGCTTGCTATCCACAATTTAAAGCAAGGAGACGTTTTTCATTTTTCCTTCCAGTGCCCATACAAACCCACTCGCACCTTGTATGGCGTCAGTGGCAGGCGTCCGAAAATTTTGCAGGGTGGCTTAGAGTTTTACAAGTCCCCCTACCCCGTCGCATGCATTCTTGCCTTGCCCTGTTGCCGAAACGATCCACCAAGTCGTCAGGAGCTCACTGCACTGCAACTCGTAAAATTGATACCGGTTCTCTAAATGAGAAGTCACTTCATCGCTATCGTAAGTGAGGCAAGAGTAGATTGATGTGTCGTCCTTGAGGTGTTACTTAATTTTTGACAAGGCTAAGCATGCATGCGCCGAGTCACGAGTTAGATTGTCGCAAATAGCGGCATAGCTCCGCGCATAAACATGTTCTTTTGGACCGTAGGCGGAAAATCCTCAATGTGCTTTGGAGCGGACACAACTACAGACCCATGCATCAAACATGTTTCGTATATTCCTTCGTACAGTCGGCTAGCACCGGCAAAACTCTCCAGGAGTCCTTGCCCCTCCCCCCCCCCCCCCCCCCTTTCTGTTCTTTGTTTGTTCTTCTGTGGGGAGGGGCTGTTCTGCCACCGCACGAGGAATGACTATGGTGTTTGTTTACTGTCGCCACATGCACGGCCAGTGTGTTTACACTGTGCAGGGACGCCGCCGGTGTCGCGTATCGTATTGCCGCCGCGAGTCGGTGAGATACGATCGCCTCTGTGCGTGCGGATGTAACCTTCGGCCTCTTTCTGCCACAGGGGGGGAAGGGGGGGGGGGGGGACTGTTACTTATTTTTCGGCAAGTCTGCCTGAAGAAACACTTGTTTTCCTCCGGCACCGTCTTCAATTATGCTCTCGCTTAGAGTTCAGTTACGCCATGCATAACAATGACGTAATATAACACCGGCTTAACCTTCCGTTCACGCCACGCCCTCCATCTGTCGGGCCAAAAGCTTCTGTAACATCGCTAAGTCCTGGCGGTGCCTAGAATGACGAATTAAATTATTTTGTAAGCGAAGTACTGATATTAAACAACTAATTTGAAAGCGTAGCACGATGAGAATCTAACCAGCCAAGTATAACACACTAATAAGGATCGGATTCGCTGTAAAGTTCAGTATTCATTGACAATATCAGCCACATCAGCGATGAAAACAAGTTCACGTGTTATTTTTACAGCTTTTCATAGCACCTGGGCATTAATATGACTAAGTACGGATACTGTGGCATACGCCGCTCCTGTACCACTGCGCTCCTGCACCACTGCGGTAAACGCTCCTGCGGTAACTAATGCGACCACAACCTGGTTACACATTTATTTTTTTTATTTTAAAACAAAATATTGCAACATGTCTTTGCAGATTTGAAATTACCGGCCATCAAGGGCCCATCGAGTAATATCTAAAGAATATCGAGAATGATTATTTTTTTATTTGCCGCACAAAAATCACAAGTTTGACTTTTTCGATTTTGACGAAATTACCGGGTGCAATTCAGAAAACACTTTAAACAGCATAACGCTAATTAATTTGTTAATTAATTAACAAAGCAAGAAACGCTCAACACAAAAAGTTTCAGCGTTATTATATAAATTGAAAGCAACTTAAAAATTCGCCGAAAAATGCCTCATTATGCAAGATTTGCTCCAGAAGCCAAGATTGGCATTTTATTTCGCTTGAAATATATGCTCATATAATTTAACTAACTCTTTCGGGCAGAAATATATGCCTGCATTAAACATAAAAACTTTGACGGTGTAGAAAGCTGTATTTTTTATTCCAATGGCCTTCGAAGTTGCGTCATCGCATAGTTGGGAAAAACGTTTTTTCAACCTCCTCTCGAGTGTGATTTTTTTTCACGAATACAAAGAAGTATCTTGCAAAAGTAAGGTCTGTCCTGTTGTGTGGACAGGTTTTGCTACCTCATAGAAAAATTTAATTGAAAACAAAAAATAGGTATAACACCACCATGACCGTCCTTATCTGAACACACCCATATATAACTTGAAATAAAACTACTTTTTCGAAATCAGTCTTAATTTTTTTTTTCTAACAAAATGTGAAAACATCGCACAATGCAATTTAGAAGTAAAACCCTTACCGCCAAAAACGTAGCAAACGAACCTGACCCACCTTGTGGTGGGCTATTACGCCACAACCTGATTTTGGCTGGCGTTACCGATCCATCCTGTATTAACACCAATCGAGACCGCAGAAAAAAGCATCCACCGTCGGGCAGCTCTTACCGTTCGGAGCTTGCGCAAACCAAATAAAACTGAATAGAAACTACCGTAAAATCCCAAGAGATGTCCCACCCTCGAAAGATAGCCCACTCCAAGTAATAGTAGTATTGGGATGAATGATGGCCTCGGCGTAAATGCGGAGAGTTAGCTATGGCGGGATATAAGCAAACGTTGCTGACTGGGAAGTACAGTCATCTTTGCTTCGTTGCCCATAGCCACCATAACAAGCTTGGAAAAAACGGAACCTAAAAATAGCAAATTTTTTATAACTTTTCTCGACTGTACACTGAAAGTTAGCCCATTCCATATTTTTACCCGATTTGTTCTTGATGTTAAATGGGCTATCTCTCGAAATTTTACTGTATAGACCGGCACGCTGTTTACAAACAAGCGCGCGTTTGCCCACACCGGGTGTGGGCACTGCGCGTGCGCAGAAATCGATTTCGCGTGAAGTGAAGCGTCTGCGCATGCGCAGTGCTGTCGACAGCGCCACCGCAGGTGCATGACGTCAGGGCCGCGTGTTGGTCTATACACAAAAGCTCATCTCAACCCTAAGTTTTCAGGTATCTTGCATGGTTGTTTCTTTTTGACAAATGCGAGTTGTTACAGCGCGTCAGGCCGTAACAACGTATATAGTTTCTTCTTTGTGTGCAGGCTTCCCCTCACAGTTCATCTGTACCCTGTCGCAAAGGCTGCCAACCAAAATAAAACGAGTTTTAGAAAACTATCGCTCCCCGAAAATGTCTATTTAGCTCGTCTTACTTCACTGTCGATTAAAAGTTAGGCCCTAGCCTGAGCACTACGAAGCTCAGTATTCCACCGACACATTTGACGCCGTTCCGCGGTGCTACACCAAGCCGATGGTCCCTCGAATTTTGTGCTCTTTCACAATGAAGTAGGTGTTCACTTGTTTCCAAGTTCATTGAGATGTTGAAGCAGCCGGAGTGCTCGAAAGAGTAGTGGCGTCGTTGTTTTTCCTGCGACTGCAGTGGGACCACCGCGTGAACGCAGTGGGTTCATGCGCGTTCACGAAGAAGAAGCCGCCGCCGACGAAGCAGACGACAAAGCAATTCTAAAGCAATAAGACGACTGGAACTGTTTTTCTGAGCTTGATGACAAACGAAGGCATCACAAACAACACAATCTTATGAAGTACAGACATGCAGGAGAATCCAAGCTAATACCAGGGCTTCCCAAACTATGATTACCGTATTTACTTGAGTTATAGCCGCACTGTTTATGAAGAAAACCTGAGGGTTTGCCTTTCCGCGGAGCATGCGGCTTGCCGATCACTGCAATCAGCAGCATGATTTTAGCGGTTTACAGGACAGAGATATCGTCTTAACGCAAAAGATACCATCTGTGAAGATTGCATATGTGCGGAGAATCGTGTTCTCAATCTAGTTATTCGCTATGTTAGTTTTGCGCAACGCGATGATTGCCTGTACATGTGCTCTGCAGGAAAACAGACACAAGGGCTTTGTGCATAAATAGTGTGGTTATTTCTCGAGTAAATACGGTATGCCCACATCAGCCCTATTCAGCCGGGAAGCCGGAGAGCGATGACTACAAGTAGCATGGCGGCGGCAATACTTCCGGAATGCGCGTGCCTGCGCAGTTCACTTGGTGGCATCGGTCTATTCAATCTGTCGACAAGATCAAAGATATGAAGTATTCCGAAATGACCAAAGACCAAAAACTCACATTGGGCTTCTGCTATCTTCTGAGTGTCACCACTGTAGCGAACAAAGTTATCTCCTGCAAAATGCAATCTGAAAAGGCACAAAGAAACAATGAACAAGTTGATGGGAAGGAACAATGAGTAACACAATAGTCGGATACAATGTAAGACAGTGCGAGGGGGAAGAGGGCACGCACTAGAAAAGCCATTGTGGAAAGGAGCTCGCTCCTCTCTCCTTCAGCTTTCCTAGTTTCCACCCTTTTCCCTCTCGCACTCTTTCTTACGTTGTATCCGACTATAGAGGTTAGATGCTTCGTATTGTATGAAAATTATGGTGTGCATATACACAAAATACCCTCTTCTCATGTCAAGCTCACTTGACATCCACAAGGTGTGTCATCTTGTGGATTGTGGATTAAGAGTCAAAGAAAGGCACATTTGTCTTGATGACTGCCCAGAAGTTTCTTTTCTGGCTTTGCACTGAAATGTACCTAAGCATAACTGTACACTGCATGTCGACCAGGATTACATAAGCCGTCTTGGAGCACCCCTCGGTGCAGCCAAAACAGTGTTTCGGAGCACCAAAAGTGGCTTTCGGCGCAGATATTCTTAGAAAAATAAAAATATGTGTTTTAGGTGATGGACAAACGAAGGCCACTTTGCTCGCCGAAATAAACAAATTATGGTCAAGTTCGATCACTTAGGAGTCTTTCAAGATGTAACTGAAATGTCAATGACATGACTAATTTTGCAATGCTTCAGTTAAATGATGCATATATATATATGTACCCACTATAGATAGATAAGAACCAAACTTCACATATTCAAATTTATTTGAAAATGACCAGCTTAGTACTAAATATCACAGCATTAGGTTGACTAGTGATACAATATAATAAGTGGAAGCAGTCCTTGACTGATGAAACACATAGCTACTGCAGTGAAATGCGAAATTACACACAAGAAAAAGGTGCATTACGACTAATGGGTACTTTTTGCTTTTCAAAACTTTCTGCAAAGGTGCTGCAAGCTTCGCTTTGGCTTCGGCTAGTAATGAATGTCCACTTTCAATGTCTCCAAAGAGACATTGAGACATCCCACAAGTGGACAGTGCTCTAGGCGTTGCCGAGCAATTCTGAAAAACCGCTTGCCACCGTTTTACTGATTCCCGACGTGCCAGATTTTCGTCAAAAGTAAATGTGAAACAGTGGATTGCAAGCGTCCCGGCTGGTGCCTCTCTCGTGCAATCATGTTCGCATGCACATCAGGGCAACTTCAGCAGGCTTGCAGCTGCACATGCTTCGTCGCGTGAGCGGAGACGGCTGTTCGATCGAAACCGAAACCATGCCTCTCCGCTCCGTTGCCAACTGGTTTCCAAAAATGTATATAAAATGTAACTGTCCAGCATGTGACAAAAAACAGTCCAGCGACGCGTGCTTGCAAGGCCGGCAGGCGAGGTACAAGCTGAACATAGAGAAAAAAAAAAACCTGAGCGAATCGATGCAGAACAAGTCAGGGTCAAAACGTTCTTGGAGCGCTTTGTGCAACGACTGAACTCAAGAAAAACAAGCATGCTGTGCGGGTTCAGCGTGTAGGCATTGCCTTCTTTACTTTAGCTCACTTCTCTTCACCAACTTTCTTGTGCGACAGATTCTTCATGTACCAGGGTCCCTCTCGAAAGAAGGCCAACCAAAAAAAACCTAGGTAATCAATACTTCCACACAGCAGTCTTCGAGTTAAAAAGGAATTTTTGTTGTAGCGTATGTTTTAAACAAGGACAGGAATGTTGATGAGCATGTGGCGGTCCTTATATTTCAGTTTAGGAAGCTCCATATTTGTAGCGATGTGCGGACTGGCAGGCAGGGACCAAATATAGTTTTCCCATGGCTGGCCATTGCTTTCAGAAGCGAGTGCTTCAAGCTCAAAAAGTAACTCCCGCCACGCAAAAACGTAATTTCCTTTCACAGCGTGACGACATGGCTGGTACCCAGCACGTTAGCGTTGGAGCGTCCGCACACGCCCGCATCTATCGTTAAAAAAAAACGCGAGACGAAATTTACGAGACGACGAAAGCGCGAAAGAAAAGACGGCGGGAAAAACCAAGCGAGACCGGACGGACGATTGATGTAACTAAAGCAAGGGTGCAGGCGAGCTGGTTCAATACTGACATTGGAGTTTTGTGCCTGTCCTACGTCCCTTCTTTTCCCGGGCTCCAAGGTTACAATGTCACGATTGATGCAGGGTACTTTGTGTAGGGCGGCCGCTTGCGCCACCTAGCTCACGCATGCTCAATTACGGTACTCAGTTTAGTTTCGGTGTTGAAAGGCGACCAAAACTGGTCCTTTGGCGCAGGCTTGGCGCAGATTACCCATATTTTGGCAAAATGTAGCAGGATGTAGCAGGGTTAGCCCCTTGGCGCAGTCTGGCACAATTGGCGCAGCAATCACATCACTGCATACATCATTGTGTACAGTATCACCAAGCATGTTATAGATTAACTATTCGCCTTAACTGATAATTTTTAAAGATGCTATACCTTACAGTGGGTGCAACAAAGCAGTGGCAGAGCAGTTAGACACCCCCCTGTGCAAATCAAGTGCATGCAGTTTCACACCATGTCATCACCAATTCCCTTTGTTATTGTGGCATGTGCTGAGTGAGTCAATTCTTTACATCACAACATAAGCACACCACCAAATCAATGACTGCATTTATAGAATTGCAGCACATTGAATCAAGGGGGGAGCAATCACACGCACACAGTTTTCTTCTTTCTTCCTGTTTTACTTAATTGTGGATGTCCCTTCTCAATTTAACGCACCACAATCAGATCCACATAATCATGGTCAGCATTCTCTATCGTCTATCAACAAGGCACTTACTCTTCGGGGGTCTTGTTGGAGTTCTTGTAGGGGTTGTCCCTCATCGAACGTGTCTTGGGGTCATAGTATGCAGAATTGGGGTCCAAGTTTCTCAGGTACTAGAACCAAAGGACAGCGAGAAATGAGCTCTCATTTCCGATGCAAAAGCAGGATTGGTACTTTAGAACCAGCAACGCTACAGCTACAGGACACAAACCTTGGCCACGTCTTCACGGATACGAAGGTTGCGCACTGTGATGCGCTGCTTGCTGTCCACCTTTGTGCCGGGCATGTCTGCATTGTCGGCATACTTGTCTTCGTCACCATCCACTTCGTCCTCGCTGTCGTCCCTCTACAAAGCAATCAAATTACATGGAAACACTGATCATGAATATCTATGCAGCCAAATGGACATATAGTTGCAATATGCACTTGCCCATCCTCAGAACCAATTGCAGCAAACAAATGTTCTGTCTATCTGCAACAGTCTTCTAAAGCTGTGCATCCCTTCCAAGTCAAAATGTTTTCCATTGCGGAACAGTCAAATGCTTTTACAATGAAGTCCGTGGGACTGGCAAAAAGTTTGTTGCATTGTAATCGTTGAACGCGAAAAATCAAACATGAGAAATCGAACGTGAGCCATTGCATTTCGTGGCACCTGCCCAACATAGGGGATTTTTGCCATACAATTCCGTCAGTTTCAGTTAGATTTTGGTGTCACGAGGGGGAAATCTCACCTCAATCAGAACATGCTCGTCATACTGCAGACCTTAGATTTAGACTTGCACAGAAGCAGACAGATATAGCCAGGCACCAGGGCTCTACCCACGGTGGGTGGCAGCGGTTTTGCCACTCATCAGTCCGGCTGACTACCCATCTCTATGGTGGCTTGTACTAGAGATCTGCATGGGCTTGGGGTAGCCTGAAAGCCCGAGCCCGACCCGACAGTCGGGCCGCTTTATCCCGAACTGCGTCGGGCTAGGGTCAGGCTTAGTTGGAAGCATCGGGACCCGATAGCCCGACCTTGCCAAATATTTCGGAATTGGGCTAAATATTTATTTTATCTTTGAAAACCAAAATAATTGCAGAAAGTTTGTTTTAACACAAAAAGCACCAACCTCGATATTGTGCTGAGACTCATTGGGTTCTAAACAAAGCCCGCTAAACTATGACAACCGTCTAGGTTCAGTGGTTCTCAAATGGGAGTTCATGGACCCTGCAAAGGCATTCCTAGGGTCCAGGAAGCCTTGCTCATCAATAAACCTAATAATAAACTTGATCCCTTTTTTTTTTTTATAGAGATGTTTTGTGAATTAGACGAAAAGGAAGAGGAACACGCAAAAAACCCGAAAGCAGGAAAACCCACTGGCTTTGAAAAATAGACACAAGCTGAGAAACCTCGCCCTATCGTCCTAGCAACGCCGAGGTGGAACGTTACTTAGACGGTGACAACAGTTGAATGGACATTGGGGACCTTCCTGAGTGGTGGAAATCTGACGCAGAAAAGTATCCCTTGCTCAGCCAAATCGCACGGAGAGTCGTGTATTCCAGCGACAAGAACGAGTAGTGAGCGAAATTTCAGCTCTGCTGGACTTGTGCTTCAACAGCGAAGGACAAGGTTGTCTCCGGAGTGTGTAGATAACATCTTGTTCCTTCACGCTAATGCGTAAATAATCCCGAATCTCAATGCTTTTAATATTTGTTTCTTAATTGTTTGATTGGGAAGTGAATAAGCTTCAATTGTATGTCAAGAACGAATTCACATAAAGTTCTGTAACGTCGTTCATCCTCTGGCAAACATGCTTGTCCTAACGTGCAGTGATGTGATTGGCCTAAGCCATTTTGGAGCACCTCTTGGAGCAGCCAAAACAGTGTTTTGGAGCAGCCAGAACAGTGCTTTGGAGCAGCAAACGTGGCTTTTGGAGCAGCCAAAACAGTGTTTCGGAGCAGCAAAGTAACTTTTAAAACAAAAATGCTTAGAAAAAAAATTTTTGTTTTAAGTGCTGGACAAACGAAGGGCACTTTGTGCTGTGTTGTGATGGAACTCGGTTTTTGTGTTTTTACTGCCGAGACATCCCACAAGAGTACAGTGTTGTAGGCGTTGCCGAGCGATTCCGAAAAGAATGCTTGCCACCGTTTTACTTATTCCCGACGTGCCAGATTTTCGTCAAAAGTAAGCAAAGGTTTTGCAAGAGTCCCGGCTGGTGCCTCTGTCGTGCAGTCATGTTCACATGCATGTGAGGGCAACATCAGCAGGCTTGCAGTGGTATGTGCTTCGTCGCGCAAGCGGAGACAACGGCAGTTCAATCGAAATCGGAACAATGCCACTCTGCTCCATCGCCAACTGGTTCCCAAAATAGTATGGAAAATGTAACTGTCCTGCATACGACAAAACAACACTCCAGCGGCGCGTGCTTGCCAGACCGGCAGGTGAGGCACAAGCTAAATACGGTGGAAAAAAGAAGCTGTGTGCATCGATGCATGATATCGCGAGCCAGGGTCAAAAATTTCTTGGAGCACTTTGTGCAACAACTGAACTCGAGACAAACAAGCGCGATGTGCGGGTTCAGCGTGCAGACATTGCCTTCTTTGCTTTAGCTTACTTCTCTTCACCAACTTTCTTTTGCAGAAACTTTTCACGTACCGGGGTCCCTCTCGAAAAAAAGCCCGCAGCGAGAAACCTAGGTGATCATTATTTAGATGAGCAGTCATTGAATTAAAGGCACACTTCAACGAAACTTGAAAAACACCCGTCGTGTTCAGAAATAGGTTGAATATGATCCACAATATCCGTAAATGATAATTGCACGTTTGTATTTTGAGCCTGATCGCTGTATTTTTGGTTTTAAACGGCCCACTCTGGCAAGTGCTCGGAGAGCTGCCAGCGGAGAGCATGTGACATTCGCCGCAATCGTGACATAGTTCGTCTCGGAACGAGCAAAGCTTCAGCGACGCTGATGTTGAGAAGATGTCTTAACGGTTCCAGCCACTGAAGCGGCAGCTTTTGTACGAATTTTGAGCGACGGATTAATCTTCTATAATCTTGTAGAGGGACAATAGCGACTTCTCGGAGACACAAAGGATATTCTCGGGGGGAGGGGAGCTCCTCCTTCCCCTTTTCTCTCGTGGTGGCCAGAGGCAAAACAGTTATCGTCACTACCTGCCAAAGTTCCTAGACGGGCATTACAAACGAGGCGTTAGCAATATACAACAGGTGAGGTGCTCTTTGCTAATCATTTAATTCATTTTAAAATTCCTTTTCGTGCCTTTTCCAACAAGAGAGTGATGTGTCTGATGTAATAGTGCTCCCTTGAACACGAATAGACAAAGAGATAAGTGCCAAAATTTCGTTGTAGTATCCCTTTAAAGAGGGATTTTTATAGTAGAGTATGATTTAAACAAGGACTCGATGAACAAGTTTAGAAAGCACCATATCTTCAGCGACGTGGGGATGGCAACACCCGACGTCGTGCGACCAACGTTTCAGCTCACAAAGCAACTCTCGTCGCGCAAAAACGTGGTTTTGTTTCACAGCATGACGGCATGTCTGGCACCCAGCACACTGGCGTCAAAGCGTCCGCACACGCCCGTGTCTATCGTTGAAACAGTTAAAAAAAGATGCGAGATGAGATTCCCGAGACGACGAGGCGCGAAACGCGAGACGGCGGCAAAAACCATGCAAGACCGGATGGATGCAGGGTACTTTGTGTCGGGCGGCCACTTGCGCCACCTAGCTCACGCATGCTCAATTACGTTCTTTAGTTTCGGTTTTGAAAAGCAACCGAAATTGGTTCTTTGGCGCAGGCTTGGCACAGATTAGCCATATTTTGGCGAAATGTAGCAGGATGTAACAGGGTTAGCCCCTTGGCGCAGTTTGCGCAGCAATCACATCACTGAACGTGGTACTTTAATTTTAAGACTATGATCATTCCAACCGGATACATAGGTAATAGGGTTGTTTTAGGTAAATCTCACTATTTATTCCAGTTTTATTTTTGACTATTCTGAACAGAAAATTTAATCACAATTTTTCCCAATGTGCGGAAAGTGGTTTCCAGATTAACACTTCTTTGATTTCTGTGCAGCTTTCTTCCCTCCCATATCTTCCGAGAATGAATCCAGTCGCCCTGTGTTGTATTTTTTCCAGCTTATCTATTAACGTTTTTTGGGCTGGGTCCCAGACAGCACATGCATACTCTAAGATGGGTCTAACACATGTCAAATAAGCAGTTGTCTTTAGTTGGGTTGTGACAGGTGCCCGTGTCTAGATTAACCCAGTCTTTAGTGGAAGTGGGGTGGGTGCTCTTCCGGTATTTTACGGTAGGATATGGGCCAGGACTTTAGTTCTACTGGACGTTTTCGAGTAGACACATTTGTTATAAAGGTGTTTGACTGTATCAGCTTTCCAATTAACCTTGGCGCCCCATGTTCACAAAACATACTATTTGTTGTCGCCGTTTTTTTTTTAATCATCCATTATGTCAGTTGTCTGTTTTGCAATGCACCGAATTTATACACCAGAAAATAGGTTGCACACTGCTGCACTTGGTGTGCGAATCCCAAGTGTTAGTTCCGAACTGCAAGTTACTTACCTCTCTTGTAGTTTCCAAGCTCATGATGTCGTGCTTAAGCCTGTCTTCCTTCAGCTGCCGCTTGGCCTGGAAACAATATCAAATGACAACTGCCACTTTTTAGGTGCAAAGTCAATATGCTTTGAATGCACAAAGCACGCCGCTCCCCTCACCTCTTCCACTTTCCTGTACTCTTCTATGACACCGTGGTAACAGGCAGGGTCGAATCCATTCCACCTGTCGCGCTTTCCATCGTAGTCCAACTTTAGGCTGGGGAGATCTTTTTCGTCAGGTGCAATGTCGTCATTTGTGAACTTTGCACCCACTTTACGCGGTCTCTGCAAAGAAGTTGACAAATGCAGCGGTTACATCTTGGGAATGTATTTATGCTAACAACCTGGTAACTAGTAAAGTCAAAGTAACAAATGCAATTCAGTTTCCTACCCACACAATCCCAGTCAACTTAGAAAATGTGTGATGCATTCACATACTACTTGTGTTTGTTCATGGCAGTGATTGTGTACTGCAAGCAGATTTTAGGGCATACCAACTAGTATGCACCAAAATCTGTTTGCAGTACATACATGGATCAATTAATATATACCACTTCCAGCAATGTTCCCTCACTGGAGGCTGGCTAAGAATCTGTTATAACATAAAAATCTAGGTGTTTTGATCAAGTTTTGCAAACTGAATTGATTTTGATGTATGGTGTCATGCTCAGTGTCTAGCATGTTGATAAGGCTGATAAACAAAAATACAAGGCATTTAAATATTAATAGAATACAAAGTTGTAAAAAAAAAAATTTACAAACAAGTTGTGGTATTTATATATTGATGTCATTAACAAGCAGCATCAACATTCATTAAGCACTAAGGGGAGAGGACGGACAGGCCTTAATGAACTTTAAAAAAGCAGACTGAGAGTTGATGGTAGTTTAGTCTATGAGGCAACTATACTCTGCTTCACCTTATGATGTACCGCAGGAAAGGCTACAAGCGCGAGCTCCTTGCTCTAGGGCACATCTCGGCGGCACAAGCTCTCGTGCGTCAAGAGCAGCTCCCAACGCTATGAGCTCACGCTTCTAGCCTTCTCTGCGGGACAACATAAGGTGAAACGGAGTATAACAATGTCAGATGTCCGCATTTATTGTGGGCACAAGTAGTGTTCCTAGGCAAACCGACAAACAATTGCATGGTACGTAGCAAATGTAACTGTCAATAAAAAGAGACTGCATCTGAAGTCTCACAATTTAGTCAGCGATTGTGTTCCCATCACAAGACCAAACATTCTTCTATGATAGAAAATACAGTGACAGCACCATGCCAAGGCTTACCTCGTACCACCGCATATTGGAAAAACCTTCTAGCAAATAAATTCTAGTTTACAAGCTACCATGGCGAAAATATTTGCAGCTTGATCATAAGTTATTATAACAATTGATCTTAGAATCAAACAACAATTACATTTAAAAGAAAAAGGTTAATCTGCCATGGTGATTCAATGTGTTGACACTGTGGACCACGCTAAACAGAGATTTGCACAACATTTAAGAATGACTAAATAAGGCACCCGAGCATAGCCTGACTTCATACAAGTTGCAAGGATCCACCAGTAGCTTTAAGAGCCCATAACCACAGCTGGCTCCAAAGCAGACTTGGTCATTTGTGCAGACTCAGTCATTTGTGAACGACACTCTGGTATTTGAAAATGGACCACCGTGCACACCAAACATGAAATGGCATACGACTTCACATGGTTTCTTACATTATCTCTAAACACACACAGCATTGAATACCCCAAAACACATTAAAGGGAAACTGAAGTGGTTCTGTATTTAAGAGAATACACTTAAATCGTCTTCATTTGGCCTCCAGGATCACGAATATCAAAATTATATTTCGGATTGATGCGCCAAGTAGCAGCAACAGCGCTTTCAAAATAGCGCTGAAGCCCCTCCTTCCCGTCACATTCGGTGCAAGGAGGGAGTCATGACATCATATAGAGAAATCTCAACATTTTCGCGCTTTCCGCAGGCCTTATTTGAGCAGTAAACAGTGCTGCATGCGTTCCCTCCCAAGAGGCATGCGCAAGGTAGTTGAACCCTCTGAATATGACATCATGCCCAGCGGTTGGGTCTGCAGTTTTTCTTGAGTCTATCGATACCTTCGGGTCAAATGCTTACGACATTCAAATTTACAGGACAAAAATATGCTAGAATTCACCTCTAACTCATTTTTTTCAGGGCCTGTTCAACTTCCCTTTAAGCAAACATGCTGGATTACCTCCAAGCAGTCTTTCTTCTTGTGCGTCAATGCTCCACAGTTTTCACAAGCGCCTTTGCGATACTTGGACGCTCTCCCTTCCTAAACAAAGAGATGCAGAAAGAGACTCAACAGAAATCGAGGAAAATCAAACTTGGAATCGAACTGCAAATCACACACAAACAGCTTACAAATTCGCCACGTGAGTAGTAGTCATTTATCTGGGAAAACTCTCTCTGCTTCTCGGGTTGTGGTCGCTGGTGCTTTAGGGTTGGGCCCTTGGCGCCAAAATACCAAGGTGCCGACGATATATACTGCGGGATGTGAGGGTTGATGTCCCTGAAAACCAAAATACCGGTTAGAAGACAAAATGCAACCAGGGAGAGTGCATCTATCAGGATGAACCTCATCCGAGTCCATACTTTCCCTCCTCATCAACTGCAGCCGGTGCTGTGCCAGCTTTTCTGGCTTCTTCGAGCTCCTTTGCTTTTCGCCAGTCCTCCCGAGACTGCTTCTTCGGCTCATCGACCTCCTTGCTCTTGATTATCTCAGATACGGGAGTGTTTGTCGTGTTCATCTTGGCGTCGCCCGATGACCCACTCAACCCGCTGAAATCATTGGGACCTGCCAATACAAGGAACGAAGGACGAAACAGACCGTGACATTGGAGACGCACGCTGTCGCGAATATTCGGGCAGTGATGTTTCTTCAGCATCTTTAACAGTCATAACTGTCACTTGAACATTCATCGCATCGGTCATCAGATCCGGCGCCGCTCGCCTTTCAGAGGCACTGTAGCTCTCCCGAGCCCCCTCCCCCCAAAAAGTAAGATTGTATTTTTTAATGACGCATTAATCGGTTCTGAAACATCATTTGTACAATAAGGTTTCAAATCTGGTCCCGTTGATAACTCTGCAAGCAGGTATACCTGCGTTCACCACTTTCCACAGACGAGATCGGTATTTCGCTCTTTTCTTTTACAAAATCTCGACTGATGAAATACAAGTACGCGCAAGCAGCCCATGATCCGTACCAACAAGAAATGTCCGTACAGTCTGTTTCACGTAGGAATCGTGCTAGAAAACGTATAATTACGCAGACTGCATGAAACACTCGTAACACTGAACACGAAGCAGCAAATGACACGCGAAACGAAGCACGGAATTAACGAAACAGTTCCAAAGCGGCGACTTATCGACGTTCGTTGTCCTTACCAATAAACGGTCCGTTTCTTAGCGCTAGTAGATCATGTAATGCACACTCCGTTTCTTAGCGTTAGTAGATAAAGTAATGCACGCGGCTACAAAAACGATGTTTACAAGGAAGAAATGAGAAGATGAATTACCTACGCAGTCCGTACGCAACTACTCCGGAATCGTGCAGAAGCTAGGCAGGTTCTGGCAGGTTGAATGATACCATTGCCCGATTGCTTCTGCCGTTCTGCCACCGGCGACTAGAGAAAACTTCGGCGCGCACTTTATTGGATGAAATTTGGTGACGTCACGACCAATAGGAGCACGGAAACAGACGCGGTCTCCTCAACGCCCGGAGAAACGTCGGAAACATCGTGCCTGACGAACCGTCGTCGAACGAAAGGTGAGTGGTTTGAGTTTTCCTGTGATGTGATCTCTATGTGTGTTCGTTCCACGCGTCCGAGCTGTTTCTTCGTTTCAGATCTATTTGGCGCCGCTGCCTACATTGTTTCGAGCCTGCGTTCACGATTAAAACAACCATCGCAGAAAGCTGAAAGCCCGCCGAAGAACGGCTGACTTGCGAGCTAAACCTAATTCAACAAAACCATTTGATCCGACAGAATAATGTGCTTGATCTTACATTTCATGTCAACAAAGAACTGCGCTGTCTGTCTTCGTCCCTACATGTTTTATTCTTTCGTGTTTTTCAAATCTTTACCAACCCGCGTCCAATCGAATGCCCCGATCACAACAAATAGTTGGTCGTGCTCCGGTGGCCCTTATCATCAGCCGGTAAGGCAGTTACGTTTATCGTTTCTATATTTTGACCCAAGTAACGTCATATTCTCAAACTGTGAAATTCGATCACCACCTCTAGTTTCACATTCTGGTGCACCGTGCACTTGCAGCTTCCTGCACCCCTGCGAGGTTTCCTGCGATCGTACCCTGTATATTATGGATTTCTCGCCGCACGCGAGTGCTCTCGAAGGCGTGCTATACACTCTGTAACATAGGTTGTGTGCAGAAAAGGCACAGGCCCGAGCACAAAAGCGCCCTTTTTGCACGAGCAGCCGTGCAAAAAGAACATTCTGCGGAGCTACGCCCTCGCACCCGTGCCTCTGCTGCACACAACTTATTAATAACCGAGCCGTTCTCGTTTTTGTTTTGCATATTACTGTGGAAGAAGTGTCATTGTTGTTTTCTTCTCAAACAAAACTCACACGCTAGACAAAAGCAAACAGATAGGAGTCTGCACATTTACACCCTTTTCTCCCTTGTGCGGCAGGTTATAGCTGGTCGCGACTCAACACCGTTTCTTTTGAAGCTGATGGGCACCACAAGGCGTGAAAGAGGTGACTTGCAGCTTTGCCAAGGCAGCAGCAAGACACTACAAGCCTTCGCATTAACTGGCTAGCCAGTGGCGCTCTGTTCTGAACAGCACTGCGTGCCATGCAGAGGGTTTGTGCAAGCTCGCTGGGTGGCGACGCTAGCCACGGTAAGTGCATCCTATGCAGCTTTCTTTTAGGGATATATGTGGCTTGCAGGCCATGTCGTGCATGTGCCACCCGAGGGACAGCAGTGCCAGTGGCAAGGCTGTGCTGATGGTAATCACCACTGCACTGTGTTTTCATTCAATAACTACTGAAAAGGAACCAAGTACTTCCGAGAGATTCTCGGTTGTGCTTTGATGAACTCCAGCTCGCTTACGGACTTGATGTCTGTGTTAACAATGCAACGAGACTTCTTTTTAGTTTGGGGCGTTGTTTCTGCTGCGGATGACTAGCGTTGCAGTAGAGAAATATGCAAAATAGTGTAATGCTTGCATTAGTTACCTAAATTAATGGCGGGAATAACTGACCTACATTTCCACCAACTGCCTTTCTCAAGAGGAATAGCCTAGACTAGATAGCTCGCTGCACTATGTCCTTCCTCCTTAGCCTATACAACTCGGCGTCTTTTCCTGATTGTCTTATGTGGCTGCTTCTGTGTTTGCCTAGGCACTCGGTTGAAATAGTGAAAGCTGTCTGCATCGCACATAACTGCCATGAAAGCCAGTGTGGACGTAGCTGGGGTAGCCCCCAATATGGCTTTTCTAGCTCGACACAAGTAATGTTCCTACCACTGTCGTGTATGATGCCAATCCAAGATTGAAATATACTTGTGCTTTTCATTGCCGTGACGTCACGCAGGAACATAGCCAGGATTTTGTTTTGGGGGCGGGGGGCGGCAGCGGCGGGGCGGGCTGGGCCGGGCCGGGCCGGGCTCCATGAACCCCCTCTAGTTACGTGCTTGCGTCGCGGGATGACAGGCTCACGGTTGGAGCGGCTGTGTAGAAATGAACTATGCCGAGCATTTGTTTCGTGCTGCTGGGTGGGATTTGGGGCGACCTTCCAAAGCATTCTTTTGACACAATGAAACTGTTTGTGATCAGTTGTGAACAAAGTCTACAGCCCTAAGAGTGAACCTTTGCCTTCCCATGACGACTCAATTTCAATGTTGCCAGTAGACCTTTTCACTTTGAAAAACACAATGATGACCAAAATTGTAAATTCTGTAACTTTGCGAAAAAAAGCTATTTCGGCCAGATATTTCGGTTACTATTTCAGCGATGTTTGTTGATGTGCTTAGCAAGTTTTTAGGCAAATCGGGGACAATGAAGAAAATGCCGGAGTACCCCTTTAAAACATGAAGTGCACGTAGTACACAATGAAGAAGTTGCTCGCCAATCATTCTCTTAGAAGTGTGAGTTGAGCCCCTTCGAGGCAGTTTACTGCCGCAACGTGCACTTTAATCCGCCCGAGAAGAGAAAACGAGATGAATGACGAGTAGGATATCTTTGTTCCAAGGCTTGTTGAGACAGGAAAGGCTAGGGAACCAGTATTGTTGCTTCTTGCTACCCGGTACGAGACTCAAACCCGACATGCAAGGAAGTCGAAAGGCCTCTTCATGTGCCCTCTTTCTGCTTCCTTGTGCCTTGAGTTTTAGCTGTGTCTACAATTCACGCTCGCCTGCATGCCTACTCTTTTGGTCTCTTTTTTGTTCACTGTGTTACTGAAGTTTTCTGTCGTTGCTGTCCCAGAAATGCTTTGTGGATGCACAGAAATACAAGGTGCTCGACGCCTGCGGCTAATTGGTATCGCTTTTCCCGGTACCACGGCATGAAGGAGGTGGCCTACTACAAGCACTGGGTTACAACTGCAGCTAGCCCATGGGTACTGTTCTGCATCCTGCACTGAATGTAGTTCCGAGAGCCATGTGAAAAGGCAGGTGTGACCTTTTTAGGCACTGTCACTTTGTTTTGTGCATTTTCTGCCACTTTTTCGGGGCAACTTCTTTTTAAGATTCAAATATTAGAAAACGGACTCAAGTGAGAGAGGGGGTTTTCTGAGAAGACTGGCTTCTTTGCTAAACCATTGGGACTGGTATTATATCTATAGAGTTCATGTACACCTTACGTTATGTACTTTTTCTTTAGTTTTATTTTACTTGGTACTTATACTTCGATGTTACACGACAGCCACTAAAAATGAAGAAAAAACAAAAAAATGTAGACTTGTCGGTTTTTTTGTTTTGTTTCTTTTGCAATATGTTGGAAGAGTCAATGATCTGGTCGGTCATTCATATTATTTTTCCTACACGCATGTCCAGCCTATGTTTACATAAAACCCCAATTGCCCCTTAGCAACGGAAATAATCTGTGCGACAGACTAGGTGGCAGCATTGTGGACGGAAACTGGCCTGATTATATCTGCCATGTTTAGAAACTACATTTGATGTCAGGTTAATTCAGTGGCAAATTCCCCCCAAAAGAATCTACATCACTCTGCCAGCCAATCGCTGCCGTCAGTTGTCGTGACGTCACGTCCAGCAAAGAAACTGCAAACTAGTATTTTTTTTTTTAATGGCAGGCCTCTGCTGTTGATGCGACATAGCACGTCAACACTCAAGCAATTCTTCCGCTCTTGACCTCTCCGGTTTCACCTTACGAAGTCGTGACGGTGTCTGCTTTTGTTTGCGGTATTTCCCATGTGTCGACGTGAGAAGGCAGCGGTTGTATCGCCAAGTAGCAATTAATCTGTGCATTTGCTCCAGCGGCACAGTGTTACAAACAGGACTCTTTCACCAAGGGCAAAGTCTAACGACTGGCCCTACAGTTGCCAGCATCGTGCAGCCGTGAATGCGTAACTTGTCCGAACGCTTTTATGCTTTCGTCTGTGTACAGTGACAAAATGACTCGCTGAATGCGAAATGCCGTACAGCAAACTACAGTAGAGTCTCATTAATTCAAACTCCAGGAAGTCACAGATTTTAGTTTGAATTATCAGAAATTCATCTAAATATGATACTGGACAGCATTATGATTTGTTACATGGATAGCTACTCATACAAAGCAGATTTTTGCCAGTTTCCTCTACATAGGCCTAATTATAAGCAAGTACAGGCATAACACATTAGTGAAAGAGCTGTGACATTGAGTTTATTCATCCGGCAAAAAATTTGTCGATTGTGGACTGTTTAGTCAGCACATACAATCTCAAAATAAAATTTTCAATACCAGCCAATGCAAGTAGCTCTTTACGGGACTCTTCCTTTGCAGACAGAAACTTCCGGAGCTGAGCGATGTGCTCAAAGCTATGGCTGTGACAGTTGGTAGCAAGTCATCCCTTTCTTCATCGTCATCTTCACTCTCACTGCTGCACTGTGCTGGCATTACTTTCTGTACTATGTCCTCTAACGAGTCATCACGACAAACACACACATCATCGTCAAGACTAGCATATTCCGCCTGCTCGGCGTTCACATTATGTGCTTCAAGGCCAGAAGGCATGATGCCAGTGAGCTGGTCCTCATCCTCGATGTCGTCTTGGTCATCATTGCTAGTCTTGAAGCACATAATGTGAACGCTGTTTTCCGCTAATGTGTGCCCGCTTGAGCCCCGTTGAGTGTGCTTCTTTATGAGCACCGGTGCACTGCGGAGAAAGAACACTCATGAAAGCACGCTCCGCAGGTATTGCTTCTCTGCGGTGCACCGGTGCTCGGAGAGAAGCATACTCAACAGGGCTGCGAGTACAAAAGTATGAATTAAAGGAGTCATGAAACGCTTTTCCAACTTTTTCCTGTTTAGCTTTCCTCTTCAACTCATAAATTGCGCATTCTACCAAACAGTTCAAGA